GGCTGACTCGGTCCTAAAGGAAAAAGCCCTTCAACCCATCGTTTCCCTCACATAACTATTCCTCCTTCAAACGTTCTTCCTCCTCACCGTCTTCAAGCAAAGCGGCTTAAGCAGTCTACCTTCACCTTGGCGACTCTCCTCTTTTCCTTTTCCTTGTCCTAGATTCCTTCTTCTACTCCTTGCCCCGACTTTTGATAACGCTCCTCCCTTATCCACCTCCACATATGTTGGAAATATAGGGTTTGTAGTGGAGATCTGGATGCCACTTGGATCGTGAAAACACTTTCCGAACTGATATTTCTACCCTATGCCTGGGTTGCAAGAAATTTAGCTTAGGATAATCCAAGAGGACACTTACGATTCTAGCCACAGAAGTCGTAAGCCAAATTATTAGGAGGATTTTGTGTTTGTTTGATGAAAACGAGAGCTTAAGAATTTCGTGTATCTCTTCTCAAAGATAAGAGCCGTTTATATAATAAACGAGATTAGGGTTTCTCTTAGGGTGGACCGTCATAGGTTGCTTGAGGATTTAGGGTTTCCAAAACTAACGGATTTTAATGAGGATTTAGGGTTTCTCCTAGCGGGACCCCAGCCAGGGGCTCTGCCCCTTGGACCCTGCTAGGGGCGCTGCCCCTAGACCCCGCCAAAGGGGCACCGCCCATTTGGAAACCCCGGACCTAGGGGTGCTGCCCCCGGACCCCCGACTTGTCGTCGAACCAACTTCTAATTCGATCTTATACATGCGTGCATTCTGCACAAAACCGTACATATATTAGAGTACAGATTATGAAACCCCTTAGCTCACATGTTAGTACAGTTACATAAAATGACATGGTGACACTAAAATCACCAACATCTGCGCCACTCCTTCCACCTCCGACCTACACCTACGCCGCCGTTGTCCAACACTGTCCAACGCCACTCCTCCATCTTGATCGAAAAACTCCACTGGCTGCTTCACCTTCGACATACTTCCATCTTGTCGATAGTTAATGAGTTTTTTTGCATGTAAATTGGGGTTTGAATTGGAAATTTCAAGATATAATTAGCTCTAATTTGTTGTGTTCCTCTTGATGTGGGAATTTTAATCTGGTAGATTTCAATTTCTTTTTTTATCGAAGATGCTTGAAGTGGAAGCGTTGATTGAGTTCAATGATTGAAGAAAAGAATGGAGAGGCAGGAGATGATCAGGGCTCCTGATGGCTGCAAGAAAAGGTTTGGTAATTTTCAGAAAGAATCATTTTAAAGTCTACCCATCTTCAAATGGTGTGCTATTCGAAAGATATATTGTTTACGATTGATGTTAAATGCAATGTGTGTATTGGTTTCCCTCGATGAACTTGCTTATCATGGTTGTTACTTTATGATTTGTACCAGTAGCATATTCATGTTAATATAATGACGTATGAGGTTCTTATGCTTTTTCTTTAGGCTTCTCTATTGTTTGGTGACATAATCATGGTGAAGATTATAAAGCTATCCTTTTTAAATAATCAATATTGTTTATGGTGCTTCTTTGTGTTTATGAAAGATTTGCTTACATTTTATCAAACTAATAACAGTGTACTAATAATTCCTATCAAAATTGGGCAAATGCTCTTTGTTTTTGTTTTACTACAAATGCACTTTGTTTCAAGTTAAACCGAAAGATTGGATAGTTTTTTTGAATGTTATGATGCATGTTTAACTCATAAAGAAACATGGTCGTCTTAATGAACCAACATTGATGGTTTTTTGTATATATTATAATACTAGGTTAATACCCGTGGAAACCACGGGTGAAAAATAGAAAACACTAACGATAATTTTAAATCGTAATGACTAATCAATTATTTGTAAAATTTTATTAATTTACAAAAGTAGATGTTTTGTGTTTAAGTTTTTTATAATTAGTTAGATTTAATATATACACTGGTTGGAATATCCGATCGACACTTTGTATCCGTAAATATTTGATAAAATCATGATTTTGTATAATGCAATATAAATTCGAACCACCAGTAGACATTATAATTAATAAGACATTTGCAAACAGTTATAATTGTTAATTTAAATTAATTTTGAAATATGTTTTGAAGATATGAGCAATGTTCGTTTTGTCTAGATTAATAATAAAATGATTATGTTGTATTATAATAAAATACAAAGTTGAGAAAATTGAGGAAAAAAACATAGATAATCAACCACAAAACAACATTGTTTTGCTTAAAATTAAATAGTATGGTAATATAATGTTTTGTTAGTTTATTATTGTGTACTACACACTTGAACCACAAAATTTTTAATAATAAATGTGGTTAGATTTTTTTTCCATCGAGAAGTACGCAACAATACACAAAGTTCATTCTTGAATAGTAATTTCACTATAAGCATTAAACATATTCATAACTAAGTTAAATAATTTGGCAAAAAGAAATATTAACCGGATTATTCTCTTTTTTTTATACAACCAAACTATATAGCCTTTATAATTATATTTACATATCCTTTATTCATAAAGTTTAGTAAGAACAATAGGGCATGTCAAACATTAATAATATCATATTTTGACTTGTTAATTTACTCATATCTAAGCTTATAAAATTTAGTTGGCCTCTCTACCTTTATCCCTTTTACTTTGGTACTTAAAATCATAAAAATAGAGTTATAAAGAGTGAAGTCTATAATGAATTGTTCTTTCCACAATACCCATATGGCTCCATAAAGCAAAAGCTACATCACTTTTTAATGTAAAAAAAAACTTTTCTACATCCGAAAAAGTACAACCATAAAATAACTTTGCCATAATTTTCTAAACCTGATGCAAATAACAATTTTAAGGTGTTCACAAAAACAAATATAAACTTATTGCTTCTTGGACACATCAATAGTCTTTCCCTTACAAGCAGTAGTCTTGGTTGTTGAAATTTGACAAAATTTGAAAATGACCACTAACCTGATCTTCTTCAACCGTTTCAAAATCGTCCTTGAGCTTCAATTGGGGTCATATTAGATGCGGCTTGAGAGTGCTTTCCATCATTCTAATTATTTGAGCCCTTAGATGTTACCCTGTACTACAAAACAAAAGTCGAGCAAAATTTAAAAGGAAAAAAAAAAAAAATATATATATATATATATATATATATATATATATATATATATATAGATATATATATATATATATCCAACATAAGAAATTAAGAACCTAATACTGGAGCTTACTAAGAAACATATTTTATGTTTAACAATCAATGTATAATGTCCTAATAAGATAAAAATCAAAAGTATAGTGTTATATGAATAGTTTTCCGAAGTAAAGTGTCATAATAAGGAACATTTTGGAAGTACCAGACTACTCTTGTTACTTGTCTTGCGGAGGCCTGCAACCAAAACCAACAATAACGTACTCTTCTTCCTCATGTATAAACAGAAACATCTAGGGGCACAAATAATAGAGATTCCTAACATATCAGTCATAGTATAAATGAAATAAATATAAATTTGTATGATTAGGTGTAGAAAGAAAGTTACCAAAGCACAAACATACATCCACAAGCACACACAACTGTACACATAGATATACACACATTGAACCTAATGACAAACATTATCAAGCCAAGATATCATAATTGCAATCAAGATTAATACATAAATATAGATTCCTTTATGGAGTGGAATACCTGCTTCCCTTAACTTTAAAAAAGAAAAAAAATAAAAAATAAAAAATTTATGTGTGCATTTCATCGAACACTTTATGTGCATACAAAAGTTAAATACTTATTGAAAGAATCAATTATATACAAATAAACTACAGTGACATTGGGATTTAATAGACAAATAAGATTGAATAATAAGGCAATACATACCTTGAAAACTATATAGCGATGATGTCTAAAGCGAGAGGAGTTTTCAATTTGCTACACACGCTTTTTACTTTATATTCACAATAAACAAATTTATTAAATAGATGTATATGGAATGAGGATTGATGAACACTTAACATGGATTTTGAGAAAACGATTTGCAATGCAAGGTGGATTTTGAGAAACGATTTTGTCATTGTTGTCGTCGACTGCTTCGCTTTTGACGGGTTTTGCATCTTTAGAAGAACATTTTTTGATAAAAGGATTTGTCAATTTTAAAAATTGATTCGGTTTCCAAAAGCAAGAAAGCGAAATCGGGGTAGATAGACTGTAACTCAGGGGTACCAATGAACATATAGAAGCTGTAGAACCGATAAGAATGCATTCTCCATTTAAAAAGGATTGCAGAAAATCAGAACCAAATCAAGGCCGAATTTAACGCAGTTTAATGAGTAAAAGGGCAATATAGGTATATCAGTTTGTAAAAGTATGAGCGGGAAAAATCGATTGAAGGAGCCTTAGAGAATGACACGTGTCAATAAAAGTACTTATTTATTAGGATAGGATTAAACAAAGGGTAAAATGATTATTTTTATCATTTTAGCATAGTCAGAAATGTAATCAAACCATATAGTTTCAGTTAGAGGGTTTCAGACACGGACTCGATCGGATCTGTTAGACATGACTCAATTGACAACTATTAATCGGCCCCTCGCTACTTCTGGGAAGATCACTTTTCAAAAAAAAAAAGGTAGACGGATAAATGTATCAACCCTGTACAGTAGTACTCCTACAAGATCATAAGCTTGAATAAATGTATTTTTTTTTTGGAGCAAATTTGTAGAAGATCCTTATCAAGAACACAAAATCTTAAACATAAACATTTTTCAAAGAGAGAGAAGATATAGATAATACACAGAAGGTTCATTTTTTATTAGATTAGAAGCAAATTTGGGATTGGGGAAAGAACAATAGCAGGAAGATAATGCAGCCAACAATGTTCTTTTTTAATATATACACTGCCAAAGAACATGAAATGCTAAACATAAACAAGCAGATTATATACATGATTTACATCAGAACCATCATAACCAATTTCTAGTAAAAAAGAATGGGTTATTTCATTCAGGAGTGAAACAGATTGTGTAAAGAACCAGATTAGCATATTGGAGTAAACCTCAAAGGAACCTTCTCTCTTTCAGAATCAGCAACTCCATCAGCCAAGATCCTGATGACCTTCTTGAAGGCAAAGTGCAAGCAATTCGAAAAAACGATCCAGCAAAGCATTTCATATACAAAATCAAAGGCCGGATCCGATGGCGACGCCGGCAACGATTCGTCCCAGTTAAACCCATCGAAATTACCACCACTGCCTCCACCGCCGCCGCCGCCACCAAACGGACCATCGCCACCATCAAAGAACCCTCCTCCGTCTTCATCGACGTAGGGGCCACCCCCGTCGATTTTCGAGCTTCTTTTGACGCGGCAACGTTTTCTAGCCAGTTTCTTAGGTGCTACTCTAGGTTTAACAGACGGCGGAGCTATGGCATCGATCGCGACCATTAGGGCGTAGGTTTGGAGTTGTTGATCGTATGAAGAACAGTTGCGATCCGTGATGAAATTGGAAAACCCTAGTCCATGACCATATTTGGTGGCGATTGCTGTCAGGGTATCAGAAATTAACGAAATCTCCATTGGTTTTTGAGAGATTTTGGTGGTGTCTCGAGATTATTATAATCGATCGATGAGTGTAAGGGTATAGGGGAAATCGCCAAGATATTCCAATCGGTGGCGTGATCGTCGAGTCAAGATTGTTAACGAGGAGTACTGACCATTCGAATCAGATCCGAACGGGGATGTTTGACTATCTTAACTGTTCCGAAAAGGGGAAATCGCCAAGATATTCCAATCGAGTTTTTGATAAAACAAGTGTATTTGAAAATTTTATTTACCATAGTTTTAAAAATATTAAATATTTATCAGGTATAGTTTTAGAAATTTATATTTTCTTAACTTTTAGCTTTTATTTTATTTTTACTGTTTTTTTGTTTATACATTTTTTTTACTTTTTACTATTATTTTTTATCAAAATTTTTTTACAAACACTAATAACTCTAATTGTTTCATTCATTTTTACTGTTATGAATGTTAATTTTCACCAACGGTTTAAAAACTACATCGAGTTTTAAACAAAAATCGAAAACCCTTCGCATGAGAAATCCAAAGGCATCCACACAAAGCATGCAGTACAAGGGTTAATGCACCAAGCAAACCAATGTATATTTCCAAACTTTTTAGCTCTAAATTTAATCCAATTGAATAACGTAACTTGAATGCTTTCTTTTGTAGAGTTGAAGAACGCACGACTTCCAAATCCACTAGAACACCATGAAAATCAATGTCTGAATTAGCTTTTGACCTTTTAGTAACTCCTGTCTTTGTCCACACATTCATCCAGCAAGTTACAAAAGGGCAATTTACTATGAATTTGATAATCCTTTTTTTTGCAAGATTTACACCAGTGTGGATGTTTTATTCAAAGCTAATGTCCAAGCAAAACAGTTCGGTGTCCAATTGTTCCATTCACAAGTATTGGTCCCACCTAAACAATGACATGTCTTGAGAAATTTCATTTTGTCTCATTCGACCAGTGAATATGGTCCACCTAAACAATGAAATTGTAAAGAAAGATCAAGTGAATCATAGATTGAATAAATATCAATAAATCACTTTGAAAATCAGAATTAAAGAGTTGACCTCACAATGCTTAGAAAATCAGAATGCAAAAGCAAAGGGTTGAAGCAGAGTTAAGAACGGTAGGGTTGAACAAACTATCACACACTACCTGACTTGTAACTAATCAAATACAGCAAATCGAACCCTAAGGTGCAATAGAATCAAAGTAAACTCGTTCAAAATCGAACTGATGGAAGATTATGGTTCAAAAATCGAACCGGTGATGGAAATAGAAAATCTTACCTGTGATGGAATCGCCGACTGGAGTGGAGTTGCCGGTAGTGTCTATGCCGGAGATGAAAGTCTAGCGGGAGATGGGTGTTGTCCCGTCGTCTTTTAATCATTCTAGCACCGTGCTTTTTTCTTTTTTACTAAATAACCAAATAACCCTATTTTGGTAAATAAGTTTAGAAGTATACCGATTGAGTAAATAAGTCTTTTAAAAACACCATTATGGTTAAAAACTCTATTCCAATCGTTTTAACTATTCTGAAAAGGGGATGTTTGACTTTATTACCCTTCCCTCTTTTTAACCTTTCTCCTTTTTAACTTTTGTTTCTTGGGAAATTATAGAGTAAAAATGTTTCATTTAGTTTTCATTTTTAAAAATTAATTCGGATGATGCTTCATTTCATTTGTTTTAGACAAAACTTCAAAAATGGTCCCTATGGTTTTCGAAAATATCAAGTTTGGTCCCTAATTTACAAAAACCTCACGGATCGTCCCTGTGGTTTCAAAACTTTTAACATTTGGTCCTTTCGGATAACTCCGTTACCATTTAGCCGTTAAGTCAAGGGCATTTTTGTCATTTCACTACACAGGGACCATTTATGAGGTATTCAATTACTTTTTTTAAAATAAATAAATAAATAATATTTAATATGCAAGGGGTCCCACCCCTCTCTCTCTCTCTCACACTTACGATTCCACACGGTAGCACCACCTTCCGCCATAAAACCACCACTGCCATCACCTCCTTGCCCACCGGAAACCACAACCTAGCCACCCATCTTCCATCTCGTTTGATCACTCAAACCCACCCTCAAATACCACCACTTACTGCCTTCCATTCACATTTTTCTACTGCCCTTCCCTTTTTTCCTTCACTACCGAGAAACACCACCCCCCCAAGGGTGGTGTTGCTATTGCTGTAACCCAAACACCTCATCGAGTGTGGCCTGTTCGAATTGAGAGCCAATCTTCTTCTCCAGGTGTGAAATTATACACTTTCAGTTTTGTGAAGGAACATTTCGTTCAGGTGTTTCATCGAGCACCTGGAGTGCATTGTTCTCCTCCTTCATTTTCTGATTTATTTAGTAAGAGTTATCACCATTGGAAGCATACAATTCCAATTTTCTGTCCAGAGACATCCAATTCAGCGAATAAATGAACATGTATAGAGATGGGAATAAGAAATTAAGGAGTTGGAATTAAAATAAGGGAAAATTGTAAAAGACTTGGATACAGGCATGAGGAATCGTAGGTGCTCTGCTTATCCATTATCATTCCCTTCACCTGATCCCACTCCTTACATTCTTGTGCTTCTTAGTCCTCTACCAATCCTCCCAAGATCCTTCCAGAAAAGGTAATTTTGCATTGTAAATCGATTGAAGCAGTAGAAGGTGGTGGTGGCGGCTGGAATCATGGTGGTAGCAGCAGATGGCGGCTGTAGTGGTGGCCGGAGGTTGCTCCGGTTGCCTTTCTTGCTTCCTTCTTGCTTCTGCTCAGCGGGGATGACGAGAGGGAATAGTGATGGACGATGTCAGATGGTAGATGGTCAGAGTAGGGGTGTTCCAACAGTCACTGCGGTGTCGATGGTGAAGTGGGTTTTGCCAATGGTGGGTGGCAGCTCTGTTGCCCGGTTATTTTGGCATCCGGCGGTTCACGACGAGAAGGAAGGGGAAGGCTTCAATGTTGATGGCAGTGGAGGTGGGTTAATATGGTCCTTTATATTTTATTTAAATATTATTTATTTATTTAAAAAAAAAAGTAATTGAATACCTCAGAAATGGTCCCTGTGTAGTGAAATGACAAAAATGCCCCTGACTTAACGGCTAAATGGTAACGGAGTTAGCCGAAAGGACCAAATGTTAAAAGTTTTGAAACCACAGGGACGATCCGTGAGGTTGGACCAAACTTGATATTTTCGAAAACCACAGGGATCATTTTTGAAGTTTTGTCTTTGTTTTAAGTTGCGTCCTTCATCCTACAAGCATGAAATGACAATATTACCCTAACCTATATTTTTATAATTTTCTTCTTATTATTTTAATGATTAAGAAATACATTAATCAAATATTTTAGGTGGTTGTGGATTAATTCACAGCCTCATGGTGTGGTACTTGTCGTGTTATTGCAGTAATCTTGGTTGAGTTTGATAGAAAGATGACCCATATCACCTTAAGGGTGATGTGAATGTACTCAAGGTAAATTCACCTAGGGATGAGCGTGGGACGGAACCGGTACTGACCCGTACCGTTCCCGAATTTCCGAAAACCGAATTTTATCGAAAATCGGCCCCGAGTACCGAACCGAATTACCATCATCGGTACCGGTACCGGGAATGGTACCGGTTTTCGGTACTAGTACCGGTACCGGTGGTACCGAATCCCGAATTTCATGTATTTGGAGTACCGAGTACCGTCCCATATTTTCAAATTCGGTACGGTTCGGTACCGGTTCCGGTACGGTACCGGTACGAGATTGGGATTTGGGACAAATTGCTCATCCCTAAATTCACCCCCATAATCTTCATATGCATACTTTTTCAGGGTTATTTTGAAAAAACCAGTTCTTATTTCTTATTTTTACAGACTTGCTTAGAAGTACTCGGTGGAGGCAATGCCAACATTCATGTTCCTTAAAAATGGAGAGATAATGGACAATGTTGTAGGTGTTAAGAAAGATGAACTTCATGCGTGCATTCTTAAACATTCATAAGCTGCTTCTGTATCCGCTTAATGTAATCTAAATATGATTATCAACAACTTATTTTTCTTTTCTTTGGTATGGTAAAAGCATAGATCTTGGATATTGTCTATGTAGCCATGTTTATAACTTAAGATTTAATGGTTTTTGACTTGGTGTTCCTTTCCGCTTGTCATGAGTTTATTTTGGGAGCATCGTGATTGTGTTCCAATATATAATATTTATTTTGAAGTCTCATACACTCCATTATCAAAATATCATTTCAATACCACCAATATAACAATGGATCATGGATCAGTAATCCATTGGAAATTAACTTAATTTTTAATAACTAAATTACATTATTACAGTTTATCACTTTTGTAATATAATATTTATTTTGAACTCTCATACCCTCCATTATCAAAATATCATTTCAATACCACCAATATAACAATGGATCATGGATCACAATATAACAATGGATCATGGATCAGTGATCCAATGGAAATTAACTTCATTTTTCATAACTAAATTACATTATTACAGTTTATCATTTTTGTAACAATTTTGCGTAAACTGTTAATTGAATCATTTACCATTGTAATCCTAAATTTGCCAGTAGTAGGTTAATGTCGCACACTTATTTTCATCAAGGTTGTTAATATATATACTTTTAACTCATATTTTCATATATTTACGTTAAATCACGTGTTCACATATTTGAGCTTAGATATGTAAAGTCATGTGTTTATGGGTAAATACATCAATGTAGAAAAGTACGATTAGAATTTTTAATGGAAAATAAAACTCAAGTAAAAGTTGCATCTACATTAGATTAATGAATATACATCATAATGAATTTTTCTATATAAAAAAATATAAATTTAGAATTGGGTAATTATGATATTTGGTTTGTTTATGAAATGTATAGATGGTATTTTAAACATACATTTATAAGAAGGGTATAATAGTCGATTAATAAAAATCAAAATTTAAAATAATTATAAATTGTTTAATAATGTTAAAAGTAAGCATTTGGGTAAATTATA